GTCCAAGTATAATTTCCCAGTATAAATTGCGTTTGAGATCGAACACGAAGTTGTTTTCGTATAACGAGAAGAATATTTTGTAATTGAAGTTTCGACGATGTTGATTCAGTGCCAAGAGCAACGAAAAAGTTTCACCGACGAGTGTTTAGACCCGAGAAACGTTTTGCGCTTTTTACACGCGATTATTTGCCAATTCTTGGGATTCCCCGGGAAAAAGTATTTCCACTGTAAAGAGATTCCTTTGACGCGAGGACCAGACAAATTTTCATGGAATTAAGGATAAAGAGATTCAAAGTGCAGGCAGAGGAACCGTGGACGAGCGTGAATACGGCAAGAAGAAGAGACGACTGCTGAATATCCGGCTTTGCGTATGCATTGCTCGACACTGAAAAACGGCGACATGGCTGGGCTACTTGTGAATTTAATATCGTCCAGCTGGAAATAAGCGTACTGGAAAGGACCGGCTTTCCGAGAATAAGGAAAATAGAGTGGATCGGGAACCGGGGAAAAGGAAAAATTGAAGTAAACGGACAAACACGAAGACCGTGACCCAAACTCGACGAAATTTTTCTCCAGATCGATCATTTCTTCGCGAGAACACGTTTCCTCGTGTTCGAGATGAAACGGGTTCCCTGTTCGAGGAAAGGCTCTTGCTGCAACTATTCTCGTCTCAATTTTCTTTCGCAAACTGCTGACTCGGTGAACAGGAAGAGGTACACAGGCCGGACTTTATCAAATTCTTCTTGTTCGTCGTCGAACGAAGACAAATAAATAAAGGAAACGAGTATCCGTACATGATATTACAATTTACTTCAAGAAGTTTAAAACTCGCAACAGACTCGCATAAGGGATCGTCGCTCGCAGTTGTAGTCTCTTATCGTTGGCGTTAAAACACTTGAATCTTTTTGTGTTAAAAAAATGTACGAAGTCCGATGCTAATCTGATGAATAAAAGTTGCTTCTAAAAAGAAGTATTTAATGTTTTATTCACTATGATACTTAATTAGTTTCCCTGAACATTAACAAGATTATAATTAGAAGGGTTTGATAATGTTGTTGCAGAAAGAATGTTAACTTGTCCGAAAAGGATGACTTAACAGGTTCCAGTGAGTTAAGAAAGTTCTAACGAAACACGAATGAGTTTAAAAGCGAAAACAGGTCTGTTTTCGAGTAGTTTAGCAGGAGGAACGACAACGCTTTCTTCCTCGAACGCTTGCGTCCGCTCGTGCCATGCGGATCGGAAAATCCGATGCGGCTACGCTATTGTTGGATCTCTTTAACGCCGTTTTCCGACTATAATTAGTCCCCGGGTCTCGGGATGACGTCTCGCCCCGACGACTTCGATTCCCGAAGAGATTCGATCGAGGCCGACCACGACCCGGAAGAAATCAATACGCCGACACGACGACACCGATTGGCCGCGTCTGATGCTCACGAGCTGCGCAACACACGCGACCGCCTCGAAAGATCTTCAACGGAGATCGTTTGCCTGCCTTCTCCTTACGATTCCGTGTGAGAACAACGTCGTTATGGTACCAAGGAATGCGTCCAGATCGCACACACGCTACCTCAAGTCTGGTCTCGCTATGTGCACGACGTGAAACCAGGATCGAACTCGCCGAGGGAATCTCATTTCGCTGAGTGATGGAGCTCGTAATCATCGACATTGTTTTTTGAAACGAGCTCCTTTGTAACAGTAAGGGCAAGAGCAGTTCAACTCCGTCCCACTTAGAATTCCCTTTTGTTAGACGACGGCGGAGGCATCGCTGACGCCTGAAACATCCCTTTTTTATTCTTTTTATTCATAACTGTCATCCTATTACCTTCAGAAGCGATTCATCCAGCTGGCGTGAAAACAAAGAAACGAATATTCGCGAGATCCATGTACTCTCACGATTCTCCGACGTGTTAAAAACAACCGCCTGCAGATGGAAAAAGGAGAACATGCTACAATACATTCAGACGTCAATTCCGCGTCATTATCGGGTTCCAACAAAGTCCTTTTTCGCTCGTAATATCCAGTCCCATGAAATGAAGACTCTACCGATTCTCAGATGGCAAAACGAAGCCCGCGGTAGATTCAGACTACCGATACAGACGTCTAACAGCACGATCTATCGGCCGAATTGCCGGTTCGTGAAAGGTCATCGCATCGTCGAAAGGTGAAACGCGTTCTTGTTATCTGTTGACGTGTATCACGTGGCACGTCGTCCATGCACATTCTTTTGCGAAGCTTGGTCGCAAAGACGTTTCAAGGATATCGTGGAAACGTATCGGTTAACAATTATAGGGACACGAGCGAGCAACGATTGGGATTCGATAGCAGGAAAAATAAGTATACGTCGGAGGAGGGCATGCACGGTATCCTTAAGTGGATTAAACCAGAGAAAAAGTTTCGATGGAAAACACTGAAGCGAAGAAGAATCGTGAAAGACGATGACACGATCGAGAAAGTGGCAATTGTGCCGCGTAATATTCGTCCCACTCGTCGTCTCTTTACCTTGCGGATTTACTCTGTTAGAAACTTTGTATTTATCCAACGATACTGGTACGTTCCACATTCCAAATAACAATGTTCCAACTTAGTTTAAACCAAGCCGAAAGTTACATCTCGGACTCTGCGGACTCGTTGCCTATTCTCGTGCAAACGCATTAATCATTTCTGCTGAGAGTTTTGACAACAATAAGCTTCAGCAGGCCAGGTAAATCGGATGAAAGATTTAAATACGACGAAGGGAAATGTAAATATCATCGGGCGATCTTGCAGAATTTTAAACAGTCGCGCGGTTTTTCCAATTCTAGAAGGATACTCGAGAAGATAAGCAGGTCTAAGATTCCCTAAAGAGAAGAGAGAGGAAAAAGAAAAGGATTCGCAAGGTCGGTTAAAATGGCTGCTAAACGCCGGCAGGAAGTGGAGATCGCGTAGACGCGAAGAAGTAGACGACAGAAGGCAGCAGGAAGTGGAGCGACGCTCCCTCGGGCCGTATGCGCGATTTTCTTCGCGACTTGACAAAAGCCGCCGGAATCGCGCTTCTTTCTGGGTTAAGTACATCCAGCAGGAAGAAGTCTGAGAAGGTCTGAGACCATCGTAGCGAAAGCATCGTCGAAATAGGACCAACATGATTGAGAGCTGATAAAGAATCAAAACGATGAGACGACACGATATAAGAAGATCTCGAGAGAAAACTCGACGAGGATGACTGCTATAACGTACGAGTTATCGACATCGGCTTCCATTTCGTTCGTCCTAAAATAATAGAATCGAACGGATCGTTGGGACGAGCGGTTGCTCTTGATTTTGTAAAATGTGCATACTCCTTGATACGGATAACCCCGGGACAACTTGCAATTAACGGAATTTCCGCGGAAATTCAGGCTCCAGTGACCATCGAGACGAAGTTCCGATTTTCAGTACGCCAACTGACCTATTTATCAGGCTTTCGGCATTTGGTTTCGGGACCAGCGCCATGGAAACATTCCCGTTAACGGATGGCCGAAGGGCCGATGCTGAATTTGGATATTCCGTTAAGTATCATCGAGACGTTAACTAAAACCTACCGAGTAAACAATCCGATCTCGTAAAATATTAAATCGCGATGTTCGTGGAAACGGAGTTCGCCGGTAGATTAAAATTCAGATGAAACGGTTTAGGATTCACCTGCAGCTCGCACCAAGAACTGTTAATCGTTAATTTCGATTTTGCATTTACACTTGGCATTTGCATTTTGACCAGAGATTTCGTAGACGTTGCATTTGTCTGCAGGCGAGACGTGAAACTGAAGGCTTCGGTCACCACTGTTTCCATTTATATTGCACGATGTTTCGCTTGGCTGATCAAACTGATGATTCAACTCGGAAGTTCTAATCCGAATGCTCGACCCGGAAGAGTTCACCGGATGTCGTTTAATTCGATTGGCCAACCCTCAACGCCAGGTATCCCCCGAAGAAGCAGACGTCTAGGGAATTACGTCGGGCCAAAATGCAAATGCCAAGTGCAAATGCAAAATCGAAAGGCGATTGTTCATGCCGGAAAGCCGATATCAAAATATATCTCACCATCGTGAAAGTTTGAAACACAAAAGCTGACGATTCGCTTATTATCGAACTCGCTACGGTCTATTCTATCGCTAAAACGATAACACGACGAAATAAAAAAGGCATCCAAATTATTATCACGGTCTGAAATTCACGGAAATGACAACAAAGGAGTATCTGCCGGCGTTCGCTACACACGGTGGCTGTGTATCTGTCTCAACGACACCCGAGGCCTATTCTCCGTTTATGTGTGTGCGCGCGGGTAAGCTGGGCGCCGCACTCGATGGGTGGCACGGTATCCCTCGTGCACAAGTGCTGTGCTAAAATTGGACGCGAACAGAGGGGGTTTATTCAAATTACTCCGCAGCGCACGGACTCTTGGATTCGAAGCAGGCGACGTTGGTTCGCGCCCGAGAATGAACCGGCGCTTAGATAGCGCGACATTTCCCCCGTTTCGCAACTGATGCCGCGAAATTAAACAAGCGGCCGTCTACCAGGTTTAATGAAGCGAACGTTTCTGCGTCGATGACGAGAAGCTCCCCCTTTCAAGCGGCGATATTCGTCCCTTCTCTTCCAAGCTTGAACTTCAACGTTACGACATCGTATAGCGTTTCGCTTTTAGTTTGTTTCTTCCTCTCGACAGGCGTCCTGGCTCATTTCGAAAGAGTTACAGAGCCGACACTTTGCTAACTATGCGCTATCGTGACATAAAGGAGACTGGGCTTGACCGAGCTAATGTTACGAGAAGCGGTTTACTACTCAGATTTATAACTCGTCGGCAAAACATATTTCCTTTGCCGTCAGAGAAACGTTATTACGTCATGAGAATCTTCGTATGCGAGAGTCAGGACAGAGGTAGATAAAATGTTAATCGAATGATAAAGCCGAGGAGAGAGAGCAGCCAAGTCAGGAACTTGGGGGTCAGAGACTAAGGGTAACTGATGTAAATGATTTTCAAAGACTCACCGTGGTCTTCTCTAAACAACGAAGTAGATGATGATGTTGCAGTTCGAAAATATCCTCCTCCTTGTAGTTGTCGTCCAGCTGAAGGCCGCTCTCCTGCGCGGCCAGTCGGGCCTCAGCCGCCTTCTTTTTGCTCACGAAGGCCGCTCCGCTCGACGCTTTCGCGATCCTGATTCGTGCCAATCTGGCTTTCTGCAACGAAAAGGAAGCAACGTTATTCGCAGAATTTCATAAGCGAGCTTCGAATAGTTCCATCGTTTTGTCTTGTCGCGTGGCTGAATCCATTGATAAAATCGGAACCGGAAACGCCGAGAAAAACAATTAGACATTGCCAAAATATCGAAAAACATCCAAAACATCCGGTGTGTTCACGGTCAACCTAGTTTCGGTAAAGATTTGGAAAGAAATCAAAATTTGGGGGAAAGAAGACGCGAAGGGCTGAAAGGCGATCCTTCGGAAAACGAGCGTTGAAGGGAAGAATTCGGTCAAAGAGAAACGAAGTCGCGTGTCTTTCCAGGTCGAGTGAAATTGTCTCGCGCGTGACAATGGAGAAACAGACGGCGGTGTTGCTGCGTTGGAAATCCGCCCGGTGAAATCGCGACGACGACGACGACGACGACAACGGAAAACGCGTCAGTTTCACTCGCTTCGGGAACGCGAATCCGCGCGCAGAAGAAGTCATTAGAGTAACAACGACGCATTGTCCCTGTCTGTTTTCTTTTTTCTCCTTTCTCCGTCGTTCCCCCGAGGCGTCTCCTGCTTGCCGCCGACGCTCGGTCAATTAAGCTTTTAGCGAGGATTTTCCGCGAGAAATTACCGTGTGCACACTATTCAAATGCGGCAAATACGCGACGGCGATCCGAAGTTTTAAACGCGTCCACGCCCATTTCCGCAACGATTATGCCCTAACCGCTGGATTTTCGCTTCCTCCGCAGTTCTACGAGACCTTGTTCAAACAGCCATTTCCACGAACAACTTTTTCAATGTACAAAAAGCAACGGATCGATGAAATTGCCTTTCTCCTCCTTTCTTCCCCACGCTCAATTATAAGGTATATTTTGCGGATAAACAAGTACTTGTTGTACGATAACGACCATTGCATTCGGCCCTTACCGAAACTTCGATACATAAATTGCAGAATGATTTGCAGCAACCTTGTTACCAGTTATTGCATCCTAGTCATAAGAATCCAGACACTTTTAAGGAAGCTAATATAAGTAAAAGCCTTCGGCAATAAACTCCACAGCCAACGAGAAGCCTTCTGTTTCCGATCAAACAAATCAGAAAAAACATACAGCTACTTGTCATCCTTTAGATTGACGAATAATCATTCGTTAAAGTTAGAATCCAGAAGTAAACTTTACTACATCGCGAATCCTCCAAACTAATCTCCAAGATTAATATCAGTAGTCTCCTATGACTTTCCGATTACGATGAATCAAATTTTTTATCAAGAGAACAACGTTCTTTTAGTCGTCAAAAACCGTCGAGGTATCCTGAATGTGGCAGTATTTTGCACGTCGGTGACATAACTATCCGTCACGTTAGTCAAAAGATTTGTTTCCGTCCAGATTTTTATCGTGCAAACTTTTTTCGCGAAAAAAATTTTTCGCCAACCAGCAAACTTTTCGCGAGAAAAGCAACGTTAACGTGATTCACCAGACAACGTCATTACGATTTATCTCGACCAGCCAGCCATGCCTATCTGTGGCACCGCTGTATGTACACGCTCAGCTTCCTTACGAAGCTTCTCGCGTGGAATACAAAGAACGCGAGTTAAATGACATCGTTCCGGCACGCAGCGTGACTTCGGTGAATCCATCATTAACGCGTTATTTCTCTTTAACGAGCGTTTTACTACGTCCGCAAGCTTCATAAAGCCCGTAACACCAGAATGAGGTACGAAACAACGGCATTCTACGAGGTTCAGCATCGAGCGAAATTACACGTAGAATATTCGAGATGGTTTTCGCTCTTCCGTCGGATTAACACGCCTATCGTACGATAACTTCATCGAGAATATCGTTACGGTTCGAGCCTAATAAAAATTAATCGCTACTTTTTCCTCCTCGTAACTCACACCGTCGCTAAAACTTTATCTAAGATCCGATTCGGTAATTTGCATTACGACCTATGGTGTATAACCAAGGGTACCACGAACGTGAGAGTTTCGGCGCTGTTCACCTTATCAGGTTTCGTGGATCTCGCGGAAATTCTTGCATAAAATGTCCTTAACGGCGGTATAATGTACGATTGCTGAATTACGAAGCAACTAGTTACGAAACTGTCGAGCGATAAGACGCGCGCGATCTCCCGCGCGAATTCACGATTATGAGACCGCGATAAATTCTTCGACTCTGCATTCACGCTACCTAACTGACGTTTTCTTTATTTCTGAAATGTTTCATCGATGCTTCCAATTTATTATAAGAACTCGTTCAAAACCAGTTATCGTACCTCTGTAATCTCTACCACTTAACGTTCGCCTGCCTGCTTTAGAACTTGCAACTTTCTTTTAAGATACCGTACAGTGGTGAAAAAGCCGAGTATCGTAGGCAGGCGAATATTTATGCGGACCGCTGTATACGACCAGAGAAAAAAGAAATGATAATTCGATGGGTCAATAAGAAATTCAGCATAGCAAATCGTGGGTGCGCAGTTAGACGCGTGTAGAATGTAGCAGGACATAGATCACGTGTCAACGTGACGATATTGCGAAACAGCAACGAGGCGAAACGGTACGGTGACTCGTCAAGGTACGTGGCGTGGCTGCAGGCAGTAAAAGCCGCCGAAAGTGCACGCGGTCGCGGCTGCGCCCCTCGAGTCTGCATTCGAGGACAACTTCCTGACATTTCGCAGCTGCGGTCGGCCGCGTAAACATCCGCGAACACGGCCGATGCCACGTGACACCTTGCAGACGCGAATCGGACCCTGCATCGAACCGGCCGCGATCTTATCCACCGCGAAAATATACGATTCCACAGGGATATAAATATGTTAAACACCCGCGAGCTTTCCTAGCTCGGTGCATCGTCACGCTATAATTAGCGAGTCGCCGATGATGCGCCAGGGTTGCTGTAATCGCGCGTAATTCACGCATCGACGGACAGTGTTTGGCCAATGGCTAAACTTAGGGTGCTACGTAGGAAAATCGTGCTATGTAAATGTTTGACTTTTTGGATCGAACCACGGGAAGGAAGGGGGATCGAATTCCGATACGAACGAATGTTTTGTGGCAGGGGGCCTTTTGGCAATTTACCGCTACTTCGTCGCTGGTCAGCGAGTTTTCAGCTTCGTTGCCGATTCCATTCCCCAAAGTAGTTACCAATTCTGATTTTATTCCATTTACAGCTTCGATTTGAATTCTTTACCGTAGGCAGGAAACTGGCTGATCGAGGGCCGAGGGAAAGGTCTAGCTATGATAAAGATGGATACAGGGTTTACGAATTCGGTGACCGACGCTGGTGGAGACTTCATCTCGCTGCCTAGGAGACGATATCTACGTTAAATGATCTATTTCTTGAACGTACAGTCAAAGAAGTGTATCTACCTTTCTTCGAGTTTGCTTATAAAGATTCCACTATATTCTGAAATACACCATGAAGTATATAAATGAAAGTGGATATGTGTTCGCGACGGAATTTCTGGATAATCCATTCACTGCCAACTACGAGATATCTCGTAGTAAGCGTATGTACCAAGAGTGCCGATTACGAGACATCTCGTACTTTACGCTAAAGATTTAGATTGATTGCAATCGATCACGGAGTAAGTTTGGGTTAGAAATTATTAGAAAGGATGAACGAAGATTTTATATAAATTTTGTGAAATTCCATGTTTTCCTTGAAATAAGATCTTGGTGCCCAGGGCAAGACGCTTTAAATTTGCCTGGCAGTGAATGAGATAAGCGTAACAATGGAAGGGCAGCGGCATGTGCAGCGGGCGATTCGATAGAAGGAAAGGCCCGAAAGCGAGCACCGACGTGGAAAGTCCCGTACCATTGGGCATGGAATGATCGATCTCGGATTCCCCGAGAACGTATATCGCCGGAAACGGAAAGCTAAAATTTCCTGGCGAGTCTCCAGCGAGATCCATCGCGGTCGTCAGAAAAAATTAATAGGTCGTGCGAGATTAATCGAAACGGAACGATACGCGTATAAATTATGAGACAGACGAAGGAAACGACTTCTGTATCAACGACTTTGGCTTCTCAACGAAGACAAATTGCCTCGAGTATAGACGAGATTCGAAGGAAAACAGACGTCGCAACACCATGTCAGCGAGTTCGTGAACCAACTATGACTCACTAGAGAATAATTCGCGTCTATTATAAAGTAGACGCGAAGTTCGACGAGCTATATATGGCGTATGGCATAATGCAATAGATTAGAAAGATACAATAATAGAGGTAGGGTCAGGATTCGATCAGGAATTAACCGACGTGGTCGCTAATTAATTCGCTTATCAATGAGAGTTTTTATCGATCTTACCGGACGACAGCTACCTGTTGTCCAGCATCGAATTAATTAACTATCGACATGTTGTGAGCACCGTCCTTCGTCCTGTATAATAGTAATTACCATGACAGAGAGGATCCTCTCTACTTCGCAAACATAATCTTCTAATAGAAAACATTGCTATACGCATGGACAACGGTAGGGAGATTAAATTTCCGCCTGAAATTACCGATCGGACCTATTAAATTGACCTTCTCTCCGTTGCTTGAAAAACCGGCGGATCAATTTCGATATCGTTCGTTGGTCGCTGCATTTACAGAGTCGCGGAAAGATCAAGTTCAACGTACGCTTCTGAATAAATTCATTTATCGGCTGAAATCGAGTAGCCCTGGTAAAAATATTGAAACCCTTCTCACATGTATACCGGCACTCGATGAAACGAAACCTGCAATGGAAGCACGAGTGGCTTGAATTTAGTAATCCCAAAAGCAACACTCGACTCTCGTTACGTACGAACGGCGTGGTTCGTCGCTTTTTCATCGACCGTTCGGCCACGTATCCCGCGCGTTACAAGCGCCGCTAACTTTGCCCCTCAAGTACCGCCAGAACGTTGAAACTTCGATTCTATACTGTGGCAAGCCTGTCATTTTTCAAAGATCGCAGCTCTGCCGAACCTTGCAACATTCATCATCTTCCCGCTCACCAAGCGTCCAACAGATGATTTATGTTCGCTCG